TACACGGGTCAGTTATATTACTATGCTAATATTGTAAATATTACAAATATTATGGTAACATTTACTATAAAAATTATATTCCTAACTATAATCTTTTTACTATGCCATTATAGTTCCAAATATCATATATTTTTCTCTGTAGGGTAAGATCATCGAAAACTGAGTCAGCTCTTTTCAAGGCCATTATAATGTATAAATGCAACCGAGCAATCTCCCCGCGATATACATCGAATAGTGCGAATGCCGGCAGTATGACAACTTTGAAACTTCATGTCCCGGGAATGACTTGTTTCAAGGTCATAGCATATGGTATGACTGAAAACTCGTCCTGAAATGCTAGCTCCTGGAACTTCCAAATATCATGTGCCATTTAAAAAAAAATTGAGTGTACCCTGAAATATGAATTAGTAGGAGTGACGATGACATAACCAGTTTGCTCTCTACACTCTCTATACAACTTTCATTTAACACGTTGACTGCCACGGCAATTTTCAAGATTCCTATCTCAGAAGCCAATTTGATTTAATCATATTATATTATTCAAAACTCTAATTATAATACATAGTAATCACCAAAAAGCATACAGAATGTGTGCTTGTTGATTTTCACTTTGAATAAATTTTTTATGATTATATTTTCTGTTCATATATGAATAAATTTTCTATTCATGTAAACTAGCCTTGATTTTTTGTTCTTTTCCCAGAAACCACCTATTCTTAGTTACACTTATATACCACGAATTTATTAAATTCAAAGCTACATAACATAAATATTGCTTTAACAACATGTTTCAACAACATTTTTAACTGATTTGGCTAATTCTTTTATCATGAATCATGCCTGTTTTATTTGTCACCGCGGTTTCCTTCGTCATTGCGATTTAATTCGTTATCGAGCGCAATAATTTAAAAAATCTGAAGGTTTTAACTGTTGCTCGTTGTTAAAAGTTATTAACAAAAAAAGTTGTATGAATGTAACGTAATTTTTCAAGACAGTTGTATAAAACACACACTTTTCCTCTCACTTTTGTGAGAAATTCTCACTCTTTAGTTTAAGTACAACAGACCCCCTCCTGCCGCGGTGCGGGGGGTCTGGGAGGCGTAGCCCCCCAGTTACACGGCTAGAGATAGGCATCTTTTTTATTAATATTTCGGAAACTATAAGCAACCGCCATATAGTCATGTTTATATTATTTAAATATGGTAAAAAATAAAAAAGGTGTCTGTCCCTAGCCGTGTAACTGGGGGGCTACGTCCCCCAGACCCCCCGCACCGTGGCGGGGGGGGGGCGCAAGTCTGTTGTACTTTAGCTAAAGTTACTTAACTTAAAGTTTAACAATCGCACATTGAAATGGAGGTGCCACAAACCCCAAAAAGCTTATTCTACATAATTACTGTTTGTTACAATAAATTACAGTGTACATTTAAACGCTTTGGATTTTCTAAAAAAGAGATGTTATATTATTATTGTCTGTTTCGCGTGATTGGCTATTTCGATCTCGATGGAAGACATTATTTAGTTTAATGATTGTCGCGAATTGTTCTTACGGACAATTTACTGTTTTTCAGTTTGATTATCAAAGAGGAATTAAAAATACTATAAAATGATACTTAACGTTAACATTACGATCTTCAACTTTCTTTCTTGTTTTTCAAAAAGCATGTTATTTCATTGTTGTCCGTTTTCCTACTACTTGATATTTTAAATTATCACGGACGTTATATGGTATGAGGTTTTAAGTAATGAGAAAGGATTAAATACTAATTAAAATATTAGTAGAAATACTAATACTAAGTATAAAATGATATGATGATATGATACTAATACTAAATATAAAATAATATAATATGATATGATATGATGATATGTTAATCATGATATGTAATATCATGATATAAAAAATGTTAAATTAATAGATAGATAACATTACGGTATTCTCGAGCGTTGTTCACCGATTAAAAATCACACGAGTCTGAGAATAACACACGTAAATTCTGAGTGATCAATTACTGAGACAAAAAATATTTCGTCTAACTGAAAGTATAGTATAGTTATTTTTGGCCCCAACAATATATTATGGTTATTCTAATACGAAAATTATAGTAATAACATGCATATATAAGATTATTGCCACTATAACATTATATAGTAGAATTTAATGAAACAAATTGTTTTTTCTTGACCACACGGAGAGAATATTAAAGGCCATTTTCACAATCTACGGTTAGCTTTAACTATCGGTTAAGTATCAACCGTGATTGGTTAATTCTGATCAACATCAAATACGATTGGTCAGTTAGTCAATTAGTTAAAGTTAACCGGAAATTATGAAAATGGTCCTAAGGATCACTTTCCTAAATATGATTGCCACGATAAAATATTAGTGTTTATTACTCATTTCGGTTTCCGACGTAGCGCCGCGTTCTTTGTAGGTTTGTTTCCAACGTTTTGTAAATATTTCATTTTACTTTATCACAGAGGAGAGCAACTATTAATGTTATTTTTTGCCCATATATACAAAATGATTGTAGTAATCGTAGTACTCTAGAAGTGGTAAAACTGGCCGTTCTTGTTCCTCGTTAATGTAAGCGATATTCTCAGTGCTGTATGGCGTAACTGAACCCTAGGGATTTCTCAACCACGGCATTTGTTCCGTAGACCACAATAGAGAGACTGCAATGTTTCTTCGATTCAAGTAACTATATATGAGGATATACTAACTGAACATTACGTATCACAAGAACTATGGTCGTGAGACCTGTATAGATGGGAAGATAACAATTGCAACTTCTAATGCAACATCTATGGGACTTCAAATCACAAGTTTCTCTCGAATCATAAAGAACGTGGGTATAGAAACTATACCCTTATAGAAATATCATACTAAGAATCATTGATAATTACTTATTATCTAGTATTTTTAATACTGAAAATAAGTAATTATCAATGATTCTTAGTATGATATTTCTATAAGAGTAGCAGCCTTCTTCGTGCATAATTTATAGTGATTATTTTTCTAAGTGATTTTATAGTTACAAGTACCAAATATTTTTTCCAATGTAACATTCCTTGACGCTAAAATGAACAAATTAAAAAACGTTGCGTGACATTCCCGATTTTTCCGAGTCGACCGGTCGGCTTTTTGTGAACAGAGAAAACTATTATGGTTGTTATATTTACATATTCTATGGTTAGAGAGAAAATTTTTATGGTTTTTTCTACGGTTAGAAAGAAAATATGTCATTTCAAGTAAAATATATACAGTTGCTGTTATTACATACATATGTCTACTATACATTTGTCATAGCCATAGTTCTTATTACATATAATATTCAGTTATTATATCCTCGTATATATATAGTTGCCTCAACCAAAGGAATATTACTGTCTCTCTGTTGTAGTCTGCAGAATAAATACTATGGTTGAGAGGTCCGTAGAATTTGATTGCACTATACAGCACAAAGATATCATTTAAACACATATATTATATAATAGATATAATAGATGGGCAGTAAAGACACATATAATAGATGGGCAGTAAAGAAAGTTAGTTTACCACTTCCAGAGTACTATGGTTATTACAACCATCTTGTATGCATAGGCGAAAACTAACATTAATACTTTGTTATGGCAACCCTACTTAGGCAAATGATATCCTTAGTGTTTTCTCCGTGTGAGATATATTATTTTGCCATGACTTCGTTAAACTTCCGGTATTCGCGGGCACCTGAGAGCGATTTTACTTTGGTGCGACATACACACACAAAGTGAATGTTACACGTGTAGAATGATACGTGCCATATTTTTTCTCTATCTTCCTATCAAAAGTAACTATCTAAAATTGTGCAAACTGATACAAGGCTGTTTTTTTTAAGTGCATTCTTTTTTTATTAATAAAATATTTAACGAAATCTTCTTTTTATTACACAAAGTCCCGTGATTAGAGAAAAGTTAAGGGCTATTCTAAGACAGCAATCTCGTCTCAGGATGTTTCTACAGTATCCTCTCATCTTCAGAGTAACCGGCGTTTTTCATTTTCACTAATTTGAAAAAAACTTCAGGAGGTCTTTGTATTCTCAATACTTTGACATTTAAGATTCCTGGTTCCTCGCCAGGGAACTCTTGATTAATGACGTTAGAAGTGGAAAAAATGCATGTCCAAAGTGTTTGTAAAATATGTTAGAATAAATATTATATAATAATATAATAAATATGATATGCTCATAAAATGACACTTTTACAATCGATCGGATACATTTTTAAAATTATCCGAACAGCTTACTTTTGCTCTAACAACAAATAAATTATTATAAAATTAACGTAATATATACACACTTCTACATTTATATTCTATCGATATATTCACCATAATTCCATTACGCTAATCTTATGATTATTTATTGATTGTTAGAGCAAAAGGAAAATGTTCGCTTAGAAGAGGTAATCTGTTTTACAGATTTGTTTGCTCGATTGCAAGTGTCATTTTATAAACATATTATTTTATTTCAACATATTTTACAAGAATTTTTAGCTTTTCACATTTTCTTGTTTTTGACATCATAAACGTGACGAGAAAACTAAAACCTTACACTGAGAGCAAAAATATCTAAAAGATGAATATTTATTCGATGGGTATTATAATAAAACATATTTACTTAAATTAATATGTATATTTTTACATTGAGAACAATATATGTATGTTTAATATGTATGTTATAATATACATATATGTATGTATAATATGTATGTTTTTACATTGAGAACAAATTTCTTCTAGATAAAAAAGTATATATTTTTCTTTACACACACAAATGAAAAAATATGTATATTTCCTTTAACCATTGCTTTTCAAAAAAGTAACTTTTTATTTTATTTAAACACAAGGATTTAAATAAACATGTTATTAGTGTCTGCTGAATAAATACTCTTTTCTTATTTTTCAGATATCTTTTCTCTTAGTAAAAAGACGTTCTAATCAGAAAACTTGCTTTTGGTTCCAGGTCTTACGGAGCTTGTGGTCAGATGAAGGGTGCGGTTCCCGGGAAGTGTAGTTTCGGTGAATGCCGGAGAATCCAGTTCGGGCTGAGCAGGGTCGGCTCGAAGATATCGTTCAAAAACTTTTCGTATTCTCGCACTTAACCACTTACGATCGAAAATTGGAACGTAGTTGTCCAAGTAAAATTCGTTGAGTTACAAATAGCAAAAGGTTAATATACTTTTATCTGAGCGTATTGTTCTCGCTAAGTCATTAATTTGATCTAACCGGCAACGTGATATTTTTCGTTCTAGAACTGCAGCAAAATGTGGCCGACCCTGAGGTCCTAGTAATCGATGAGTCAAGCACAAAGAACGAAATATATACAGGGTGTCTGTGACGATAAAACGTGTACGTGTACGTGTAGAGTAAATCAAACTGAATAAAAAATTCCTCTACAAATTTTCCTCTTTTTTCGGCGTTGAATTTATATTCATTTCTCAATATTACAATAAAATTAGTATTTAAAATCAGTGTTAAAATAACGCAATTTATATGTAACATATATTCTTTGTGAAATATTTTACGTGTAAAGTGTACAGATAAGTTGTGTTATATGTCAACATATTTGCCTTGAGTTAAATTAACGCAAAGATTAAAGTGAATTTTTCTCTAAAAATTCCTCTAAATTTTGCAAACAAGCACGTAAAATTTTGAATTATTGATTAATGAAAATTGGCTAATGAGCGCGCTGAATACGATGCAGGATATGACGGTAAATGTGATTTGCGTTGTGTGCTTGTACATTGGGTAAAATGGAATGAAGAAAGTTCTCGACCATTTTGTAAATAACTACGTAAATTTTTTAATTATTAATTAAAGAAAATTGGTGAACGCTTATGCGTAATTATTCTAATCTTTTCTATTGATGTTTTTCCGAAACGTCGTAATTTATCGTACTTGTCATTAAATCATAAAATGCCATTGAACTGATCGCGAATGCAGTGTAGTGAAGTGAAAAGAGTGAAGCACGACCTACATGGAACGACAATGCGATCTGAATCTGGGCCTGGTCATCGCAGGATATCGATATGCAATAGTGAGCGCGAAGATTGAGTATTTATGACAGTGCGAGATAATTTGAAGAAAAATTAGGAATTGATGGTGCAGGTTAGCGCATATTTGTAGAGTTTAGTCATAATTAACACACTGCAACAAAATTTGTGTTAAATTTAGTACATTTCCCATGTCTCAATCCACTCTAATTTTTGCGTTAGTTTAACATAAGGCAAATATGTTGACAAATAACACAATTTATCTGTAAAATATGTACTTTACATGTAAAATATAAAAATATACCAAAAATGTTACATATAAGTTACGTTATATTTTAATACTGATTTGAAACACTAATTTTATTGCAATTCTGAGAAGTGGTAAATATAAATTCAACGCAAAAGAATCAAAATAACACAACGTTAATATGTTAAATTAATTCACGAGTTAAAATTGTTAAAAATTTAACAAAAGTTTCTATCGATTTCAATGCAAATACAAAATGTAATTTACCGTACAGAAACTGTGTATTTTTGAAACTTTTACAAAATCAATGATTATTTTAATCCCTTAAATGATATGCCCGGAAAAGTTTTGTAATGAAATATTAAATTCTTTTTTTATTTAAACTATCGTAGTTTTTTAATTTAGCAAATACAAATGAGATATATATTTTGTATTTTACTTTTCCAAAATTCTTCAAAGAAAATAACAATAAAGAAAAAAGAAATCTAGATATGCTTATTTAAAAAAATCGTTCTGAAAGGAATCACGTAGTCATTTTAAATTACTACTCAAGAGATTAAGGCTCTTAGACCGGTTCATAGTTCAATCTTCAAATGTAGTCAATGAAATAATTACATTTGTTTTGCAGATTTTTGTTATTTTATAAATTATTTACAGAAAAGTATTTTTGGTAGATTTTGATAAAGCTATTAATAGATATCTGCGTTTCAATATAATATTTTTAATACTCTGTATTTCTGACACGAGGTTTTTAAGACCACATATTCTATAAATTTTTCTTCATAAAATGACCTCAAAAATCAACTCCTAAAATATTGGGCAATATCTGAAGATGTACTTAAGACAATTTTAAATATAATATCTGATTATGAATATCGTTCTGAAATTTCCAATTACAACATTAAAGGGATGCTGAACTCGAAAAATAACGTTGATAACGCAGAGACAATTGTTACTAACACAATCTCGCTATCTTTTTCGCATTTCTTGTACATACAGAATTTATGTAAATGTGTGTTGCTTTGTTTTGCCATATTCAGCAGAAAACCTAACCACACACATGTGTAGAAATCTTTCTACAAACTTTTTCGATATTCTTAAGCCTCTGAATTCAGATTAAGATACAGCAATGTTCTTCAAAATTTTTCTGTTTGGAGCATCCACGCTTTCGATACGTACAAGCTGCGGAACTTTTCGGATTAGGTAAATATTACGTAAATTGACAGCTTGAAATTTTACATTTAAATTTTTTTTTCGTTTTTGCCACATATTGAGCAATGCTTCAATTTTTTGCACACATTTTCGCTGCGTAAAAGCATTTGTAATTCTGTACAACAAATATGACGTAAACTTTGCAAAAAAATGTTAGTACTCTAGTGGTAAAGTTTTCAGTTTCAGTATCCCCTTAACAAGCCTATGAAAGCTAATACAGGATAATTGTTGCAAATATAATTATTTATTTTTTCATCAAGAAAAAGAAGAAGAGTTTTAATATTATTTTATTAAAGGAGGTAAAACATTTTTTTTCACGCCCGCGCATGGACAGTTTGAATTCAAAATCCTGTAACTTTTCTGGTTTTTAATTAATTTTATTATGATATTTGGTAAATTTGTGCTGACGATGAATTTCCCCGTTCAATCTTTTGGGTTTCTTAAGTTTATTCCTGAAAAGAGGTTTCACGTATTTTTGAACTCTCTCTTCAAAGTTCTTTTTAACTTTCTCTCATAGTACTTGTTCATTATCGATCTCATGGTCGTATTTATGAAATTTGGTAGAAATTTATATTATCCCTTTAATAAAAAGTGCGTGTTATCGTGAATTTATTTTTGGTCTGTTCTTTTCAGCTGCACTGCTGAACTGGTGCAATAAGTTAGAGTGAGAAAAAATATACTTGTCTCACTTTAACTTATTGCACCAGTTCAGTAGTATAGCTGAAAAGAACAGACCATTTGTATCAAAGCGTTGAAGCCTCTTTTCCGCGATGCTGATTGGCTGTCTCGCTCAGCTCACTTCATGTGAGCTTGCTTCGTGTCGTTTGCGCCTGTCAAATTATCAGGCAAATAACTATCATCGTTAGTTAGCTCATGAAGAAAAGAATACAGAAGAGATATAAATTATAAGAATAGAAGAATAGAGAATAGAAGAGTAGAGAAGAAAGAGGAAAAAGAAAGGGCAGACAAAGAGAGAAGCATATTATTTAGGCAAAAATAAAAGTAAGAATAAGGTAATTTTATAAGGTAATTTAAAAGGTCATTGTAATGATAAAGATGCTAAATAGCGCGCCTGTAATGTTCTAGTATGTTAATAAAAATGTGTTGTGTAAATTAGGAAACGAAAAACATAATAATGGCGAAACAGTCGTTCCCGTGAAATCTTTTTTTTTTTTTTTATAATAGGTTCAATAACTTTTTGTGAAAATTTCTAAACGAGAAGAAGAAAATATCCTTAATTTGCAATAAATTCTTTAGGTATTATCATAGTCGATTTGTTCCCAAAACCGATTTTTTCCCAAAAATTATACTAATCTGTCAAAGTTTATTTTATAGAAAAACGCTTGTTTTAAAGACATTTTTAATATAACTTTGGTTTGAGAAATTATTTAAAAAATCTATAGTAAAATCTATAGTAACATTTAAAGAATTTATTGCAAATTAAATATATATTTTCTCCTTTTCTTTCAGAAATTCTTAGACAATAGGTTATCAAGCACATCATGAGAAAAGAGTTTTATAGAAACAGCTGCTGTTCCATTATTATTTTGTTCTCCGCTTTCTGATTCACACAACATTTTTATTAATGTATAATGTAAACTCTTGTCAAGTTTTTCATAATATTAAGAAAATATTACAGAGATTCGAATTTAAGTTTTCTAAAAAGGCTGTTTCACCTTCTTAACAAATCAAACGTTAACGGTATCAATATTTTGGGCTCTTTCAGTTATAATGTTATAATATTGATAATATAACATAACCGCCTCCTTCAGGGTTTAACTTCACCTCTGAACATTTTTATGTTTATTTTCTTCGTATTTATTTCGCGAAACTTCCCAGCCACGCGCATTAATTGCTCGCAGCATCGACTAACCGAATGAAGCGCGGATGGCGAATAAATACGCGGAGGATTTCCCATCCGGAGTAATTCGATCGCGTATAAATCGACGAGCGAGAGCTCGGCTTTTTCATCAGGGGGCCCGCTACAAACACGTCGGCGCAACTTCATTAATGCATTGTGTTACACAGTCGACGTAGGCTAACTAGCGCCTGATGGCGTTACGCGTAAGATCGACGAACGTTAAACTACCCCTGCCCCTTCTCCGTGTTACGTAGTACACTAACTAGTTACTTCCAGGTCGAAGTTAACTATCAGACTGGCATAAGATCAGGAACTTGCGAGGTAGCGGCAACGCCAGTAACGCCGGCTTCCGCTCGTCAGATTATTCGATTGTGTGCATATCGAGAGCGACGAGCCGTTCCCCATTAGAGTGAATTCACGCGCGCGAGCGTCTGTCGTTTTAGCACAGCCCCGGATTTGTCATAAGTTATAATGTAATATAACTGGCGACACGATGTCCGTACTACGTCAAATTAAGTCGCAAATTCGGATCCCCGCCGAATTTATTCTCTCTCCTCGAGCGCACACTTCGAGTGCACGCGAATCCGCACTTCCGAATTGTTGTGCGCGCCAACTGCACTTTACAAGCGAGACCCACCGCTAGTTTCCCCAAGTTTCGCGATACATCTACAGGATGCTTCAAAAAGACCTTAACACTTGTATGGGAGTAACTTTTCTCCATATAAATATTAACATCTGTTTTTAAGTAAATTCTCCATGCAAGGGTTAACATTTCTTTAAGCACCATGTGTGTGTATGTATGTACATATATGTGTCGACACATACAAAACTTTCGTGTTGCACACATAGGTTACATAAAATTGATCAAAAAATTCCTTTATCATTTTGCAAACCATGTAAAATTTTGAGTTATTAATCCTCTATCACCCAAATTAATTCCTCATGTTTAAACAATTTTTAATGTACATGTTAATGTACATAGGATGTTTAAAACTAAAGTACTCGACACATATAAGGAGAAATTTTACTTTTTTAATTTTTTTAGTTTTCCAAAATAAGTTTGTAACTTTGAAGTCACATTGGACAGTTACTATT